TTCACTTCTGAATGTAAGATCCTTTTCATAATCTTCTAATACTATTAGGTCTATTATTTTCGTATTTTTCAAAATTTTTTAGTTAAATGCTTTTATCAAGTGTTAAGATAATTCAATTAAATTATTCTACGAATTCTAATCTATATATCAAAAAATTTTTGAACTTTTGTAATAATCGTTGTATTGTTAATGATATTACAAAAAAATATTTTTTTATTTAGGTTTCTTTAATTATTACCATTTAGGCTATTGATATCAATTCACATTTATTATCCTAAATTTCTCTAAATACATCACAGTGATTAAACTAGAGGGATGAGAAGAAATCGGAAAATAGAGCACTCATTTTTAATAAACTCTCGTAATATACAAAAGATTTTACTCATTATCAATTAATAACAAATCACTAATTTTCTATCCTCTTACAATCTTCCAGAAGTCTGTAAAAACTGGATTTCTTTAGAGAAATTTATACTATTCTATGATGAATCTTCAGAAAGTTTATAATTATTAATCATCTATTTTATTATTTTTATTTTAAAATCTTAACTGATTCTTTTATAATAGTTATATAAAAGATATTCCATCTGGACAAAATTTACATTATGGGTACTAGGAAAATGAATGTAGATTTTCTAAAAATATTTACAATCTGATTTATTAAAATTAAAATTCTTAAAATCATATATTATAATTTCAGTATAAAATTTTTCAAGCGCAAAATCCTTTAAATTTTAATTTCTATTAATTACCATCAAATTCAATATAAGTATATTTTTTAGTGAAAAAATATACTATTAATAATTGCATAATATTTCAAGTTTCTAATCTTAAAAAACAAAACAAAATTAGCTTTAGAAAATAGTTGAACAAGATAGAAAAAAAACAAATCCAAGAATAATAGTAAGTAGTTCGATGGAGAAGATAATTGATTTTCATCCTAACTAAAAGCTAAGGCTTGAATTATTTCTGTATGTCCTATTAAATCTCCTTAATTCTGGTTTTTGATATCGTAATATTGTCTTCTAAATTTAAAACGCATCTTTAGTTATTTAATTTAATTCTAAACTGAAGGCTAAAATTTTAATAACCTCACAATAGACTATTAAGAGTTTGGAATAAATAATAAGTAGTGTACTACTCTTAAGGATATGCTCCTTTATCTTTTTATTGTAAAAATAGAAATTTAGCTCTTTCAATAAACCTTGAGATTACTTTGCAAAGACATTAAAAAGGTTTATTAAGCTATATTTTCCACAATATTTATTTCTATTCTTCTTTTATAAGAAACTCAAAAAGCTCTCAATATTTCTGCTTTATTTAGAGAGACTTCAAAATATTTTATGCTTTGTGAGGGTGAAGAAATTATAAAAAAAAGAATCCTAACTAAAATAATTAAAACTATGAAATTTTAATAGTTTTGACTAATATAAAATTTTTGATTTTACAATCAGTCAAGGTGTTTATTATATATAAATTATGGAATTTAACCAAATTATACAATGTGGGATACCAATATTAAATAAATTCAAAGAATTTTAATACATTTTGATGGAACACATTTAAGATTATTTACAGAAATTCTTGAAGATTGGTAATAATTTACAGTAGAAAATTAATAGGTTTTTTTTTAAGCCAGATTTAATGCTTGAGTAAATAATACATAAAAACTAGCAAAATATCCTTACATAGACACTTAAAAGAAGTAAGCAAGTGAATTTGCTTATTTTCACTTGCTTATTTCAAATTGAAAGGAGGTAAATTGGAAATCCTTGAAATTGACCAAACTTTATGAAACCAAATAAATTTGCAGTGTGAATACTATTTGGATATGACAGAGCTAGAGAAATATTTAAGTTTTCTCTTCTCGACTCAATTGATGTGAAGAGATTTCAAATACACTAATATGACCA